TCTTTTTACCATTTTATAGTTGACTTGCTTCTCTTCAAAAAAATAAAATAGGAGCAGAGATTTTTAAACATCGCGATGGAGGTACGAGGTTTTTCACTTTGGCCATCAACATGTCATTCGGGAGGTCAATAATGGTGGCACAGGTGCAAAACCACAAACATTAATAACAAACAAGTAGGTTGTTACACTGGAAAAAAAAAAACATATTGGATTTAGAGTCCAGAGTCTTGAAAACATCGACAAGAAAAAAGACTCTTGATTCAATCAGATTTAAGCTTAAATCAAAAGGAAATCCGCTCAAATTAAGAGGCTTGGTTCTTGATTTAAGCTCAAATCTGATTGAATCAAGAGTATTTTTTCTTGTTGATGTTTTTAAGAGCTTGGACTCTAGATCCAATGTGTTTTTTTCAGTGTAAGTAAAAATTTCTACAAACCTTTAAAACGAAATGATCGAAGCTGTAGAAAAAGAGATTCCTGATTTCTGGAACACGTTCCCTGACGAATCCTAGTTAAGCCCGGTTACTCCCGGTCGTGGCTATCATGTCTAAAACTCGCCGACAAATCAGAGAGCGGCACACTTTTTCTGAAGTAAGCACTGAGATGGCGATACTTTTCCACACATATATGTATAGGTAAGTACTCTATTACTGACGAAGCTTGATTGGAAAATTCTGTCTGGTACGGGACTTCAGTCGTACACTGGTTTTTTATTTTGGTGGTTTTGGGCGGCGAGGAATTGAGACCACGACATGCCGGAATCACAAGCTGAATTTAGCAGCTGAATGTGGAAGTCAACAGTCATCGCCCAACGGCTGAAAATTCGCCAATTCGAGTTATTTTCATCCAAATGTGTATCAAATGTATTCGAATAGCTCAGACAAATCCAACATTATCCGATGGTCGCTGAGAATAGGTGCTGAATTTTGCGCGTCATGGCCTGGTTACACGCTCTTTCCGTCAAATTTCGATCAAAATGATGACCAAGATGGCGGTCGAGAGTTATCTAGATTGACGAGTAAAATTAATTAAAACAGCGTGTTGATTGAAATAAGCATGAAAAGCACGGTTGTGTGGAAATCAGATGAAGGATGAGCCCCACAGCTCCATCATCTACCATCAAATGTCTGCAGGCCGCAGAAATTTGATGGTAGATGGTGCGCACCAGTCAGCATTTGATCGGAAATTGATGGAAATTTGAGCGTGTAACCAGCACAACGCGCTGAATTTAGCAGCTGAATGTGAAAGTCGACAGTCATCGCCCAACGGTTGAAAATTCGCCAATTCGAGTTATTTTCATCCAGATGTGTATCAAATCTATTCGAATAGTTCAGACAAATCCAACATTATCCGATGGTCGCTGCGAATCGGTGCTGAATTTTGCGCGACAAGCACAAAATCCAGGCATCGGGCCGATGACTTCCACATTCAAGCCACATTCAGCGTGTGATTGCGGCAACACGAATAACCACCTATACGCGTAAAGGTGGTTATTCTCCCAATCGGTCTGTTCTAATTATTGTGCCTTTGGGTATCCCTGGTATAGTGATGGCAAGCCGACCTCTTGATTACTCTGCTAAAGCAAGGGCGGATCCAGCAATTTGGCAACACAGGATTTCCTACATTTACACCTATGTTAAATAATCGATTCTTGTTGGAGCACCCGGCCTCTTCAAGAATCGATACATTTTCATAGGTTTAAATGGAGAAAAAACAACGTTGCCAATTTGCTGGATCCGCCAATGTTGTAAAAAATCCACTTTTAGTGGAGTGAAGTCAGACCGAATGGCGGGGTGAATGGATTAGCCACCTATACACTACCGTTCTATGGCAAAATGCCCATATGAACATTCGAGAGTTGCCGATTTTCCTTGATAAAGTATTTGTTTTTGAGAAAAATTATGAATATTTTCCCGAGAAATTTCCGAGAACTGCAGGTAAAATTGCGAACGAAATTTTCTGAAAAATTGGAAGAAAAATGTTTACAAATTTTGTCGAAAATTCATGATTTACTAAAGGGATTTGGCAACGCCTGAAGGTTCATACGGTGTTTTCCCTTAGCACGGCAGTACAAGTACCGGTGTTTTCCAGCCTATTTACGTAACTTGGTGTTATCTTATATGACGGTTAAAAAATATCAATTTGTGTTGTCAATCAATTTAACGGTCATTTTATCTTGAGACTTGGTGTTGGGTACAACCCGATGTTTTTCTGCCCATTTACGCAATCACGCTCTTCATCTACGTCACAGGGCCGTCATTTTCCGTTACATGACATTCTATGACTGTCGCAAAGCATCGAATGTATTTTTACAGCAATTAATCAGCCATTTTACCTTGAAACTAGATGTTGGGGGAATCGCCACCTGTAACAACATGTTTTAAATCAACAATTTTAAAGTGAAAACTGAAATATGTTCCAAAAACGCAAAGCGGATTGTTCAAAGGGTATGAGGAACTAGGGGGCTACGCCCCCTGGCCGCTACGCGGCCCAACCCCCTAAAGGCGCTCCGCGCCATCAATGGGCCGCTTCGCGGCCCTATTTTTACCCTCCTATTAGTGTTAGTTTTATTTTTCCCCTAAAAAATTACGATATGAAGTATACTTTAATTTTAAACTTTACTTAAAATTACTTTAAAATTAAAAGGACGCGTTTTGGAATGACTGATTGATGAAATATTGCAGTAAAACAATGAACATTGATAGTCAGGTAATAACTAAGATTTCATGAATCGGGGATCGATCCCACATTGAGTTCAGTGTGGACGCACTCGACGTCTCAGACGACTCGGCCACCGTTCTACATAATGACAATGGCGCGAATCTTGTGGAGATAAGTGTAGAGCTGATGCGCAGGCTATACAGCTACTGCGCAACCTCCTTGACCACTGCGCATCCTCCCGCGCATAGCGGTAGCAGCACCGGAGCATTCTGTAAACTCACTCACTTTTATAACGTGATTTTAAAAAAACCTGGGTCCTTTTTCCAAAATCTGATTAGAGCGGGCTCATCTAGGGCCTATTACCTGTCGATTTACGCAAAAATCATGGAAATCGGCCCGGTAGAACGCTCAAACGAACTATGACAAAAAGTATAAATTTACATTGTTTAAATGGGAGAATTCGCAACTTTACCACGTAATATAAAAAAACCTGGGCCATATTTTGAAAATCTAAAAAGAGTTGGCTTATCTAGACACAATTGCCCGTCGATAGCCGCAAAAATCATGAAAATCGGTCCGGTAGAACGCTGGAACTAAGCGTCACCAGTTTCGCAAAATTAGGAGGTCTTGGAGCTTATAGTATAGATTACAAAATATATTCCCACCGCGCAATCTCAGCGATGCATATCATGATCAACATTTCAAATGCGATTTCCTTACATATAAATTTTCCGCTATACGTGGTTACACGTGTTATGGCCTATTTGATTTTGACATGATTTCGAAAATTCCTATTTCCCCGGCGTTGAGTTGCTCAAAATTCAAACATTATAATACCGATAGAAAGCTTAGAATGTGATATTTCCAATCGTGTACATGTCTTATTTCTTCACTTTAACCCTAGTCTGCCTGAGTGGGGTCAGATTGACCCCACGGAAGTTTCAACTCTTTGCCATTTCTCGTGGTTTGCACGAAATTTTTTGTCCTTCACAAATAGCTCTACAAAAACATCTAGGAACACGATTTTGAAGGGGAAAAAAAAATGTCCATGAGAGATCAAAAAATTCACGAGTACCCCTAGAAAGCCTGAGCGGGGTCAGATATCCTTATAGCATATATTTTACCATTTAGCATCACAAAAGCCTACTTTGAATGTGTATTCATTAATCTCTTTTTAATTTTTTTCAGAAACTTAAAAAACAAGCAAAATTTTTCAGATTTTTTTCGTTTTCAGTATTTAGTAGCCCTAAGATTTTTTTTCTCATGCTGAGAACAACATGGCAACATGTGTATGATAAAATGGTTGCATACCCTGCGCCGTGTTTTTTTAAAACTTTTTATGGTTAAGGCCTGTAAGGTTAGTGCACTGATAAACTAAAAACATGAAAAAAGCATAGCTAACTAATTAATTTTCAGCTGGGGTCAAATTGACCCCGCTCAGGCTTTTTCGTTGGTTCAGCGGCTCAGACAGACTAGGGTTAAAAACAGCTGAGATAAATTCAACCCGGCCCGCAGTGAGGCCTCCTAATGGATAAAGCGGACAAAACTCGTAACACTGATGAAATAAGAAATGTCAAATATACGTAATTTCTGCCGTAGAATCAGTTTTTGAAGCCGAAAATACTGTAAAAATGAAGTGTTGATCCCAAAGTTAAGATGACGGCCCATTAAACCTTAAAATGACCTATTCAACAACGCAGAACTCAAATTTAGAAGATATAGGCTTTTGATGTATCAATTCCTGCGTAATTTCTGCCTTATTATCTGATTTTGAAGTTCAAAAATCTTTCGGAATAAAATTCAGGCCTCAAAAATAAGATTAATATCTTTGATAGTCGCAAATTTTTTTCGGTGGAATCGAAGTTGGATATGTGAGGATTAAAAAAATGTCACCCAGAGCATTTGCGTTTCAAGCAAGAAATTTTCATTTGAAATCGTCGTCTTTTTCCTGTGTATTTCTTACGGACCAGTGATTCTCGACCCATTTTCCGCCCACTTTCCATCCGAATTTGTCCTAATTTTGGGCGAAAAATGTGAAAATTATGAACATCATCAAAACATTTTTATTTTTGTATTTTGTATTTTTTTCTCTTTTTTTTGTATGTGTCGCAGTAGGTGGTTTTAAAATTTCCATGGAAACACTCAGATCCGTAGAAACATTTTGCCTGACAACAAAACTGCACAAGAAATTTGGAGGAGCTTAGTGAAACTAGAAAAATTATTAAGCACCTTTTTTCGACCAAATTTAGGAGCAAAAATATCCCTGCTGGTAGTGCTGGCACCACTCATAAATGTTCGTTTTACTTGTAGAGAGACAAGGTAGACAGACAAAAATCCAGGAATGAAAATAATTTACGTTATCTTTATTTACAAAGTACAAATTTTTCTTACGTGTTTTATTGGTAATTAAAATTATCTTATACGTTTAAGTTCTATCACAATTAGAAATTTACACACAAGCAAGGGCCTCACATTGAATCCTGATTTCTTAAATGATAACGATAATCAGGATTCCTAACAAGGACACAAACGTCGATTAAAAACTATTCTTTGATTCAACTTTAAAAACGAGGCTAAAAAAAAAGAAATTTTCGCATCGCAATTCTTTTCATTTTAAATTCAAAATTGCTTATGAAAGGCCAGCAACACCTCTTGACTGAATTCAGTAGCTAGATATTTAATATTGCACAATTTATAACGCTATGCATGAACCAAAACTTGCATTCGTGATTGATCTCCCGTGTTACGAGGTGGATCTAGCAGGTTGGCAGCATCGTTTTTCCTCCGTTTAAACCTATGTTAAAAAATCGATTCTTGTCGGAGCACTCCTTAGAGGATCGCTACATTTTCATAGGTTTAAATGGAGAGAAAACGATCTTGCCAACTTGTCGTTGACGTGTTACATGTTACAAGGAAGACCAACCTCTCTGCTAGCTACGCACACTCACTATTTAACCCTCTGCTTAAAGTGGAAAAGATTTACAAAAATACATATTTTTTCTTTCTTCAAATCCATATACTCAAAATAACGTCTTGAGTCTGACGCCTGACGCTGTGGTAAGAAAAAATGGGTGCAATAACATTCTTGCAATTTTGTGGAAATGGACGAAAAAATTGATTTCTACAACTAGTTTTTTTTTTCTTAAAAAAACAAAACAAAACAAGTTACCCTACACTGTTTACAGCTCATTTGAATTCAAAACAGCTTTTAAACATTATAAGTATGATTTTAGGTTCAATACTGATTGGATAATGAGATCTTTTGAAAAATTATACTCTTCTGCAGGGATATTCACGGGCAAAATTTGGCCATGGTATAGTATTTTGGATCACAGTCTAGCTATATGATTTGTTATAGCCGTATAGCCTGGCTGTAGGATTCATAGGCGGATCCAGCAATTTGGCAACACTGTTTTTCTCCATTTAAACCTATGGAAATGTATCGATTCTTAGAGGGACCAGGTGCCCCGACAAGAATCGATTATTTAACATAGGTTTAAATGAAGGGAATCCGTTGTTGCCAAATTGCTGGATCCGCCCCTGGTAGGATTCTCTACCGCCCCTACGGCTATACGTGCTATGAAAAATTATGCAATCAGGCTATGTTCTGAAACATCATAATACAGCCAAATTTGCCAGGGATAGGTACATTAAACTGATTAAAATAGTTTTCACAGTGCTCAGATATATAAATGCAGCTCTTTTTTTTAGGGTAACTTCTTTCAGATTTAAAATAAATGCACCGTTTTCGTTGAACCCTAGACGATCTTTCCAACCTCTGCTTGGGGATAATATTCACCTATCGGTTGCAGGCTGACTATTCTTCGCAAGGATCTGAACACGATAAGTCACTTTTAAACTAAATTTAAAATTACACGAATATTTGAATCTATAGTTGTGCAAATAAAATTTCTATCATTACAAAGACACTTAAGTAAAGAATTTTAAAACTACCTGTGAGGCAATACATTACATCAAAGGAATTAAGAACTATTATATGAAATGGTTGACAAACGACATATCCGGAAATAAATTTTGAGTTATGCAAAATTTCTTGCCTCCCTTTTTCGATGGCTGAGGGTTTGTTCGGTCAAATTTATCAACGCACTCGGTGGAACATCGATTTAGTACTCGTTATCATTGGGAATATTTGAGAACCAAATCCTTTCAAGTCACTCATTAACCCAGCTCAAAATACAGACACAGGAAACACGCTTTTGATGCCTTTATTATTAAAACGCTGAAAAAATTATGTTTAAAAACTAAATAATGTAGTTGCCTTACAGCCGACTGGTTATTTTCACTTGAAAAAATTGTTAGGCAACTTTTTTAATTACAAAAATATTCTCTATGGTTGGAGGAAACGTTTCTTCAGTGTGAGAAAGTTTTTTTGATGGAAGTCGTTCTATTTATGGGGAAAAAGTGATGTAAAGATTTTTTTATTGTAAAAAGAAAATTAGATTTCTTTCGATTATTCGAATGAAGTGATTTGCCATCGACGACAACCTACGGTGATTTAGTTTGAATTAAAAAGAACTTTATTCGTACCTATTTTTATAAAGTTTTCATATCAGAGACCCTGCTTTAGATAGTAGAAATAACTGCAAGAAGAAGCAGGAAGAGGGAACGATCCTGCCGACAAAATAGACTCAATATTTTTTGCTTTTAAATGAAAAAATCCCCCATTAAACAATTTTTTCGGTATTGTGAGCCATTGGCTCACTGCCAACTGGATTACATTTTGCAATAAGGAGCCATTATCTCTGGCTGTCCCATGAAATCACATATCCGCATAGGAAAACCAATGGCATGTATGTTGTTTCTGAAATGGGCCAGAAATAGTGGTTCCTTATTGCAAAATGTAATCCAACTTTGAAAAAAAAATTGCTATGGCGATAAAACCAACTAGCCGAGACTAGCAGGCAAACACAATGTGAATAACTTTGCAGTGACATGACGACGATTTAAACTCTTGGCATCGGCAGATCCAGGAGGTTGACAACATTGCTTTCAGTCCATTCGAACCTATGGAAATGTATCGATTCTCATAGGGACCGTGGCTCCGACAATATTCGATTATTTAACACAGGTTTAAATGGGGTAAAGCCAATGTTGCCAACCTCGTGGTAGACCCACCGACGAAGAGACGAATAGTTGGAGAAGTACCACGTAAAACATGCTATTAGTAGCTGATTCTCGTGAGGATGAGAACGGTGAAGATTGGCAACAGTGATGATGCGAGTGTGGCGGCGCTGTTTTTCTTTGAGCATTCCTCTGGTTTAGCTCCTTGGATGTAGTTGCAGAAGGTGGATTTGAAGTCGCTGAGCAAGGCTGACTGTTCAGAGGCGTTCAATTTCTGAAAAAATGGGGAAGAAAACGTTGTTCAGTTCTAGGGTCGTATTCATATTGGGTCAATTGCGCTGGTCACAGAATCGTATTTTGCACTGAAAAAAAATTCTCAGCGTTTTTACCAAGGTCCGTCGGTACCTTTACAATCTCACTTTTTTTTACCAATTATTGGTAATTTTACCAAGACAGACTGGTAAACTTACTTAAAAACCGGTATTTTTACTGTTTTTTTCAGGTAAGGATACCACTTTTATTGGTAATCAATTCCCGGTAACTTTGCCATTTTATCTCGGTAATTCTACCACAGTCGATAGAAAATATTGGCGTTTTTACCAAGGTCCAGTAAAATTACCGAGAAAGTTCAATAATTTTACCAAGGTTTCTTGGTAAAATTACCAATTCCATAAATGGTAATTTTACCAAAAAAAAACTGGGATCAAATAGAACCCTGAATTCTTGGCAATTTTACCCTTTTCTTAGTATATACACCAAGGTTTTTTTTTCAGTGTGATGCTTTATTTTTGTAGATCAGCTAAAAACAAGAAAATCTGTCCAAACAGCAACTCTCTACGTCGAATGTTCAGCGGGATATCGTCCTTTGAAAAGTCGGGTTTTTGACGTCATCCACCGCGGCAATACATACCATGTTATGCACAATCTCGGTGGATGACGTCAAAAACCCGACTTTTCAAAGGACGATATCTCGCTTAACATTCAACGTAAAAACTTGCTGTTTGGACGGATCTTCTTGTTTTTAGTTAGAATCAAGCATCAAAACACGATTTTGTGATCAGCGCAACTGGCCTATTTTAAAATATAATTTTGAAAGAACGTGCTACGTGAATACGGCAAGTCATCTGTTTTTTTTTTTCTTTCTTTTTTTGTCAAGGAAACAATTTTATTTTGTAAGTTACAGGTAAAATACTCATAGATGTTTAAAGTAGTCAACAAAATATCTGGTGATATAGATTGTGTGTTATAGATATGTTAGTTGAAATAAGAAAAAAAAATAATTAGACATTTCAAATCATTTTGTCTTTGGATTGGTAATATTTCCTCAGGACGCACTTCACGGAGCCAGTGGCGTGCCATGCTTTGCGCTATATCGACTGATCTGCCGTTTAAACCAATGGAAAAAGATCGATAGACAGGGTGTTCGTAACGAACACCTTAATAATCGATTCTTTACCACAGCTTCAGACGGGGAAATATCGATAATAGATCATTCACGCCTCGCCACTGCATGGAGCTCCAGCGGGCCGATTATTGAAATTGGTAGACAAAAATATAGACAAAGAAGACAAAAGGGATATGGAGGGATCCTATTGGTGGAAGCGAGTGGTTGCAATAGACGAAGAAGGTAAGTAATAGACAAACTAACAGCAATCCTCGAGAGACCTTTCAGTTAGTCCATCACTTTCTCCCTTAGTCGACAGGTACCATGTATTTCAACCAATAGGATCGCTCCATACTTCCTATGTCTTCTTTGTCTATAGCTTTGTCTATAAATTTCAATAATCAGCCCGCAGATTCTGAGCCAGAGTAGCTGAGCTGGTATACGAGCATGGATTTTTTGTTGTTTTCTGACCAGTTGCATCGACTTTATTATCTAAACCACGCAGTAACGAGGCGTGAATGATCGATTATTGATTTCCCCATTTGAAGCTATAGGAAAGACTCGATTACTTGGGTGTTCGTTACGAACATCCCGTCTGTCGATCCATTTCAATGGGTTTAAACGGCAAATAAATCGATAAGTCGCAAAGCACACCACGCCACTGACACCACGTTTTCAACTTTCTCGGATCGAAATTTTAGAAATTTCCACGCGCGTGCAAATATCCTTGGAAATAAAACTCAAAAATCTGATTGCGAAATTTTCTTTGGTCAAATTTTAGGTACACATCCGACGCGATACGACGTGATGTAATGCTCGGAAATCCTTAATAAATGTCCGTATTTCCAGGAATGATTAATCGATCGATTACTGAAGCGATCTCACTGAAAAAAAATTCTCGGCGTTTTCACCAAGGTCCGTTGGTACCTTTACCATCTCACTTTTTCTACCAATTATTGATAATTTTACCAAGACAGACTGGTAAGCTTACCTAAAAACCGGTATTTTTACTGTTTTTTCTGATAAGAATACCACTTTTATTGGTAATCAATTCCCGGTAACTTTACCATTTTATCTCGGTAATTATACCACAGTCGATAAAAAATATTGGCGTTTTTACCGAGGTCCAGTAAAATTACCGAGAAAGTTCAATAATTTTACTGAAATTTCTCGGTAATATTACCAATTCCATAAATGGTAATTTTACCAAGAAAAAACTGGGATCAAATAGAACCCTGAATTCTTGGTAATTTTACCCTTTTCTTTGTAAATACACCGAAATTTTTTTTTTTTAGTGCTCCAAAGCTCTTAAGAGCCACCATGATATAAAAGAGGAATAAATGATTGAAACCTACATCGTTGATGTAAACTGTGGGGACGGAGGTCAGTTCAGGAGACAATTTCGTGGTCATGGCACCGAATTCTGCGAGGTAGTCGCTTCCCCTGTCGGACATCGAGCAGTTCTTGAGGTCCTCAGCGTTGCTTGTAATGTTGGCTTCCTTCAAGCACTGAAAATAATAAGGTTTTAATTTGAAAATAATGCTTTCATATAAAAATAAGATTTTTTAAAACGAGGTTTCAATGTAAGTTAGTCTTTCAGTGGGAAAAAAACTCACACGATTTCAAGACCAAACGAACTTAGATTTTCTGTTCGTGTGGATGCTAGATTTCAGGTAATTCAACACTGCACACTCTTTGCAAAAATAAGTTTGAATTTCGGCGATGATTATAAACCGAAACTCATAAATTTGGCTATTCTTCACAATATTCAGAGCTGTGGCGAGGCGTGCTTTGCGATATATCGATTGGTCTGCAATTCAAACCTATGGAAACGAATCGATTATTAAGGTGTTCGCTGCGAACACCCTGTTCATCGATCCTTCTCCATAGGTTTAAATGGCATACCAATCGATATATCGCAAAGCACGCCACGCCACTGATTCAGAGCTGTATGCTGCCGTGCTAAGGGTAAATGCCGTATGAGCCCTCCGGCGTTGCCAAATTTCCCCTGGCAAATCTTTTATTTTCAGGAAAGTTTTTGAACATTTTTCAGCCGATTTCTCGGATAATTTTGTTTGTAATTTGGTGTCAAGTACCTGAAAATTTCAAGGAAAAATATTCGTAATTTTCCTCTTTGGACGGATCTGAATAATTTTAGCTGATCGACAAGAATAAAGCGTCAAAACATGATTCTGAGACCAGCGGAACTAAGTGCTTCTTCTAGGGTGCGTGGTAGAGTACCTATATTAAGAGAGTATGGCCACTGGTGTTACCACCTCTGATTGGCTCAGCCATCTTAGGCTGAATGGAGCCCTTAAGGACCCAAAAATGGCGGACGCCATTAATTAATCTCATACAAAATGACTCAAAATGTAATTTTCTTTGCTTATCGTAACGAGAAATTTACCCAAATGCACTGTTGCGACTTCTTTACATATTTTTACGGCTAATCGTGTGCAATTTTCGAGAAAAATTATCTCAGATGTAAGGTTGGCAGCAAGTGCGCTTGGTGATAACCGTCAAAATTTGGCAATGACCCCTCTCCCATCCTAAAAAACCAAAACAAAGCACCGCCATTTTTGGGTCCTAAGCCTCTCCATGGGACCCAGTGGCCATACTCGCTTAATATAGATACTCTAGTAATGAGCTGAGATCAGCACGCACAACATATTCGGAACAACAATTGCTGCGGACGCAGCCGAGGGCAAATTGAAATCAACAACGCCTACAAACCTAAGTGGATACTTCAAGCATTGTGCAATGCATGAAGTATCCATTTGGGTTTGTAGGCGCCAGTGAGCCTCTCGCGCTGGCAGCACGCCCCTCCATTCTGGTAGGCTTTAATATTTATACTCGCACAGTCAGCGTTTTTTAACTCATGATTTTGAAATGTTTGCACACTCTGCATTGATTATTCTCATTTAAATTGATGGGGAAAAATATGTATCAATTTATCAAAGGAGAATAATAATATAATGTGTGTTTTTTAAATATTGGTGGTTCCGTGTCAAAAATGATTTCCGAAGCACCTTAATTTTTCTTTTACATTTTGTAAATTGGGTTGTGAGAGAACTGAGGAGGATCTAACCTTGTCGGTGGGGTAAGGGGTTGATTTGGTGGCGGATGACATGGCGCACTGGATGAACTTCATGACGGCGTTTTCGTCTTTGACTTCGTGGATGACGCAAGCTTGAGCCTTGTCTCCGTCGCATTCTACCGAGCCGTGCCTGCATTCGAACACCAGCTCGTTCTTCCCGTTTGAATCTTCACGATGGTACTGAAAAAAAAGAAGACGGTAAATCAAAATGCGGGCCACCCAAGAGGCAGTTTCAGTCGGAAAAACTGCGATATTTGAAATTAAGTTCCAATTTTCCAAGATTTCCTGGAGATAAAATCGCCAGGATCATCAACATTTGAGCGATCATACTCGATCTCGTCGCAATTTTATCTATAAAAAATCGCGTTCGATAAAATCGAAATTTTATCTCAATTTGTTGCGATATTTTGTTCGATAATACTGCTATGAATCCTCGCGTCGATAAAATCGCGAATTTATCGCAAATTTATGTGATGAAATAGCAATTTTTTACTATATATTTACTATACTATTACCGCTACTATTACTACTATATATTTACTTTATGACAAAAACACAAAAAATCAGTGGGAAACAAGGCTAAAATCAATAAACACGATATGCAGGACGTTTCGGCTGGTCACCCGAGCCTTTATCAACCGCGCTAAAACACAAATAAAAAAATAAAACCAGGGCTAAAAAAACCACTAGATTAAAACGCGTGTGATCAGCCCTTACGGAAATTAGGATTGATCAGTCCTACTTTCCGTATGGGCTGATCACACGCGTTTTAATGTAGTGGTTTTTTTAGCCTGCTTGGTTTTAATTTTTCATTTGTGTTTTAGCCGTTGATAAAGGCTCGGGTGACCAGCCGAAACGTCCTGCATATTGTGTTTATTGCTTTTAGCTTTGTTTCCCACTGATTTTTTGTGTTTTTGTCGTATACATTTCGGGCTACCATTCCTAACCTCTCTTCTCTTGTATTTACTATACGTAAATATTATAAATCGACGTTGATAACATCTCGATACATTTTCCGATCAAATTGCAACTTATCGCAATCACTGCTGCGTGGGAAATGGGGGGAAAAACGGAAAAACATTGAATTAGTCAAAACTTTTGAGACCGTGAATCTGAACCACAGTGCAAGCAGGAAAGTGAAGTATGGACACCGCCGTACAGTAGGGTGGCCCTTATTTTCGACTTTTTGGAAATTTAAAGTGCGGAACCCTGCAAATGGTTCCTTTTGGTGAGGAAATAACGGGGAAAAAATGAAAATGAAGAAAAAAAATTTTTAAATGGCACATTATTTAGTGTACTTTACGAGAAAAATCACAAAATTTACCACGCCACTTTTAAAATGCCCCCTCTCTCCCTCCAAAGTGGCCCCATCGTGCGATTTTCCCTAACAATCTCCCCGCACGGTGTGTCTTTTTTCTACCTTTGAATTGTTCCCACGGCTTTGAAATTTTCTGAAGTAGCACATTCTTTAGAGTTCTTTACGAGAAAAATAACAAAATTTACCGCGCCACTTTTAAAATGCCCCCTTTCCCCCTCCAAAGTTGCCTCATCGTGCGATTTCGTCGATTGTTCGTAACATTCTCCCAGCACGGTTTGCCGGAACGAGTTTAAATTTTTTGAAGAGTCAATAGCAAAAATTCTTCAGATTCTAGAAGTAGAGTGTCTACCGAGTCATCTAAGCCAAAAA